TGTTGTGTTTTTATTATTTAAGTGTTACAAAATAAATAAAGCTAAAATAATACATGCAAACCAAACATTGAGAGTTGCTTGGTTTGCACCAGAGAACTAAAAGACCCTGATCCTGAGCTTATTTTATTTAAGAAAAAACAACAACAAATAAAAACACAAAGCTTTAATAATAAGTGACATTAGCTCTGTACTGTAACATAAAAGATTTACTGAACACCTCTGTGCTTCACTGCAACCAGGTGGCATTAATATATTAGTATATTAAATTTAGTTAATTAAACATTAATTAATTAGATCCAACACTCAGAGCTTAGATCTGCTGATCAGTAGATAAATAACTTTAAGACTGCTTCTACAATAAGGTGTATTTTGTTTCATAATTGGCCAATGCAGAAACGACAAGCCTGTTGGTTGCTATGGTGATTGGGCAGATTACTCCATAGAAACATGGACAGGAAATCAGGCTTTAAACAGCCACCTAATGATAAAAAAATACAAATCATTTTGAATATATTCTTTGAAACCCTTTTTTCGGGCCACAGGTGGTCATGTGTTCAGTGCTCTAGCAGGCAGGTACAACCCGCTCAGCTAAAAACCAATAGAGGTTCATTATTTTTGATGTGCACTCTCTGCACTCTGAAATGATTTAACAGAAAACCAGAAGTCCTGTAGCAGTTTGAGATGCACTGGATGAAAGTATAAAAAAATGCCTACATTTTGATGTGTAAACTTGGATGCATGGAGAACAGATTGTGGAGATGAAAGTAGTTTGAACTTTCAGTAATTCAGAGAAAATGTCCCTGGTGTGTGCTATCGTCATACTCTAAGATGAGCAATATCTTGGAAAAGAATTAACTCTCATAAAGTTCGAATTCATTTGAAATGGTTAAAATGTTTATTGCTTGTTATCAGTACAGCTGAGCCACTGACCTCCAATGAGGGATGGGTCTTATTGTTTCATTAAAGGGCTAATGTTGTCAGTTTGTTTTGGTTTTCCTTACAAAGCATGTACACTACAATATGCATCACTGCTGTGATTGGTGTAATCCTGCACTTTAATACTGATACTCATTACATAATGGAGAAAAAGCTTATATTTACGTGAGAGAAGTTTTGAAATAATTTGGCACTAAGATGATTCTCTGGCTCTGGAACCCTGATCCTGTTCTTGGTGAAATTGTCCTTGACCGCTGGTATCAAGGTGTTTCCACACTTGAGGTGTTTGGTAATTTATATAAAAGTCTGCTACCTTCTCCTTTAGTGTGACCAGTGCTTTCAGATGTGAACACAGTAATCACAACATATGGACAAAAACAAACAAACCATCCTAGAGTTTGTTAGGAACCGCAGAGAGACCATCGTGCCCAAATGGTATTGGAATGGTTCCCAGCAAATTCCATAGTGGTTCATTGCCACCTGAATGCTGAACAGCTACCAGGTGTACGCTGAGCAGTTGATCTAGATTTCTTACTATTGCCAAGTTTGTGTGATGCAGAACAGCAAAAAAAAAAAAATGCTTTTTTTTTTTTGGAAAATATTTTAAGCCCTATGCATCTCTCAAGATATCTTCTTAAACATCTTCTTATACGGTAGTTAAGGTGTGTTTTCTACTAGCCACGAACACATCATCTACTTCATGTATTAAAAGTTGGCTCTCCTACTTTTAACATAACTGACCATTAAGAACATTTATTTATATTGATGTAAATACAACTTTTTTTCCACAGAATTTGTTCATGATATTGCATCATCTGAATTACTATGTAAATGCGGTATTAATGCACAGATGAGAAATATTTTCAGTGTTGAGGTTTTTAACATTTTTCTAATTAGTGAATAAAATAGAAAACAAATCTGTTGAAGGAAATCACTAATTAGGGACCCAATTTCTCCAATGTAAGTCAATCAATCTCATAAAGTAGAACAGTTCCTCTCAGACATTAAGGTATTCTTTGACCCCTCTTAGCTCTTGACTATTTTTAACGGTATCATTCGCATCAGCTAAAGTAAAAACTCCCTTTACAGATCGAAGATGTTTTGCTGACTGTGGCTTTGGTGTCTCCTGCAGCTTTCAGCACTTTTTCCCTGTAGCCCAGTCTTCTGCCATTTGTTTTAGTTTGGGGTAATGCGTGCGGCTGTCAAAAACGATTATCTTTGAAAGTGTGAGGCTTGCCCTGCAAAGTGCGCTGGACAGTAAATTGTATTTTTCCACGGAGTTATTAGGGCATTATTATAGCAGTGCTGGAAGTGAACAATGCCTTATCGTCCTCACAGCCATACAATTAGAATCATCATTAATCGCTACTATCAGCACATCAGTGGGCCGGAGGGGTTATAATAGAGTTATAGACCACTTATTGGGTAATCAGTCAATGCGATTGCTAACTAAACTGTCTGTCATGGTGCCAAAACTGAGGTGCAGGCCATTGGCTTAACGGAGAGGACTGGAGTATGTGAGTGGAATGTTTATGGTTACACTTCTGTTCAGCTCTTCCCTTTTTATTATCAGATTTAAGTGCTGCTAGATGTTTCCGTGTAAATCTTTGATGGATGCCTGGAAGGTTACGAAAACAAAAGGCCAAATGAGTCCAAAGGCAGGTTTTCTTTAGTTTAAATAAACCATGCACACATGGTACATTAGGCCAAAACAAATTAGATGTAAATGGTCTTACTTGTTGACGATGTACTGAAAGGCTAGCCTAATTAAGGCATGCTCCAGTGAAGCTTAAGATATGACTACATGCAACTGAGTTCACTGCATGCAAACAGACAAAACATTAATGCAACAATGGCTTGATGCAGGGTGCATGATTCTGTCCAGGATGGGAAGACAGGCCTTTTTAACCCTTTAATCTGTCTATGTTGACAAAGTCATGTTCCAATGATGAGGTGTATTGTATTTCTCCAATAAAATGTTACGGAACAAGATTGATTCTAGAAAAGAAAAGCAGCTGGCACACATTTAAAATGACCGTGACTATCACAGGGAGGGGATTTAGATTTTACCAAAGGAGATTTATTGAGATATATATATATATATATATATATAGATATATCTATATATCTATATATATATATAGAGAGAGAGAGATATTTTAATAGATAGATATAGAGAAATATATGGATGGATGGTTAGATGATGGATAGATACTGCAGATAGATAGATATTTTTGTGTAACCATAATTTTTTAATTGTTAGATTAATTGGTCGATCCCCAGAGAGCAGAGGACACATTCTTGCTCTGTTGAGTGTAGTTTAAGGACCTATTAAGAGCCATTTATATCTTGCGGTTTGTTACAAGCTGAACAAACCAACTTAATATATTTATATAATATAAATATATGTATATATAGGAATATATTTATTCATAGATTAATTTGGTCCAATATCATTTCAAGAAAATTGTTTCAATTCCTGTATGCTGGTGAATGTTCTCAGTCATCCAGGTCATAGTCATTCCAAAAAAATTAAAGACAATCTACTGGACTCTGTTTCCAAGTTTGAATACGTTTCACTTCCCATCCAGGAAGCTTTTTCAATTAAAAATGTCAGGAATAGCGTTCAGTTCCAGCTTTTATACAGTAGCCCAACAAAGCCTTGTTTTTGTTCTAAAAACATGCAAATTGGAACAGACTGTCTGTTCCAATTAGTTTTGAATTATTTTGTGGAGTCAATTCCTGTACAATCATACGTTTAGAAGGAAGCCTCCATCAGTACTGGGCTCAGTAGGAACAGCTAACAGTCATAAACAGATCGGGTTCTAAAAGCACGAGGGGCACGGGAAAAAACACAAGCCCATTGAACCTTGAGTATTTTCTGCCACAATAAGTGTACATAAGAAATGGCAGCATAAAATTTATTGATTCAGGAAATTACGGGTAAGATGCAGCTAGATACAGAAGCTTTGAGTAATTCAGCAATGTCTCTAAATGCTGGACTCAAGAATAGATTCAACAGATAGAGAAAAGGAGTTAAGATAAAGGGAAGTAAGAGCTCTGTAAATATTTTTTATACATTAAAGAAATGGGCAAACATAGAGGACCTGAGTCAAAAGGCATTTTTTATAGGTGATAACAATCCAAGAGAAAAAAAACACAAAGGTAGTGGTAACAGCAGCTTTGTTATTTGCACCATACAGGGAAGAGATGAAGCTAAATATGGATACTAAGCCAGTAATACTGAATATAACTGAATACCATGTACTGTCAACTCAAGTCAAATGTATTAATAAAACAGATTGGAAAAATTGGCCAAAGAGAGTACTAACAGCTAAACAGCAAAGAGCAATCAGGAAAGAAAAAAAGCCTCACAGTTAACGCAATAGAACAATGAATAATTTCTTTCAGCAGACATGTACTTTGAAGCACTGGGCCAGAAGCAGGTCTGTTAAAAGGAAAAAGCAATAGCAATCTGTTGTAAACATTCAGAAAATAAACACAGTTAAACAGGAGTGCTGAGCCACAAGTATTTTCTATGAGATGAAAAAAGGAGTTTAGTTATTTGCCACAAAAATAACAAATTATGGAAATGAAAACCCTAATAACTGACAACAAAACTTCAGTTTAAACTTTATATTCACCAAACTGAGTAAATGAAACCACTAACCTTGTTTTGCTTCTTTTTTAATGGCATTTAGAGGCTCCCAAATAGAAATTATTGATTTTACATCCTGAGAAAATATTTGTCACTAAATTAGACTAGACTGTCCTGCTGGGAAACTACCTACTACAGTGAAGGTCTATTAGGAAGACAATTGATAGAGCAATTGGGAAAGCTTTAAGGAACAGGGTTTCTTGCAACTGATGAAGGCCTGTGATAAAATACACGTAAATTGTATGTTTTTCCAAGTGCAACGTTATTCAGTTGGAGTATTTTAAGTAAAGCAAACCTGTCATCCCAGACCAGTGCCAAATAAGCAGAGGACAAATACTGACATTTGTAATCCACACCAGCGCAGGCATGTTCCCATAATAATTCTTCATTATCCGTCTCTCCTCAGATGACCCAGGAACAGTGCTCTCATAGGAACAATGTCCAGAGTTCAGAGAAACCACAAGTGTACAAAGTGGGAATATACGGCTGGAGGAAACGCTGCCTTTACTTCTTCGTCCTGCTATTAATGATCCTGATCCTGATCAACTTGGCTCTAACCATCTGGATCCTCAAAGTCATGAACTTCACCATTGTAAGTCATGTTTTGTGTATTTTCTTCCTCTGAAAGCCTCTGACTCCTGTTCTACTTTTTTTATTTGATCTATCACCTGATGCCAAAAATATGGGACAGATTTATGTGTTATTTTCACACAGATGATACATTTTTCATTGAAGGGCCTTTAAAGCCACAGCTGCTGCTGCACATACAAGTTGCGCAACACTACAAGCATTAATCCATTCGGTAGCCTACATTTTCTGATGATTCTACATGACATGAAAGCATGAGCCTTGAATATCTAAGTTGGCCTAGTTATACTTCCTGGGATGATGAATTAGATGTTGAGCGCTGATCTGAGGTGTGTAGCTCTCTTGGACATTTGCAGGTTTCAGGTTCCACATTTTAAAAATTGATTTGATAAAAATACCTAAAGAATGTCCTTGCTACATTTATAGGATAATTTTATAAACATTAAGTAAATATTATTGAGTTTTCTGGACATATATAATCTATAATCGTCTGCTTTGCACCTGTCTGTCCCCTCCGCCTGTCTCACCACCATGGGGAGCAGAGCATTCAGCCGCTCTGCCCCCCGCCTCTGGAACTCTCTACCACCCCAAATTAGAAACACGGACTCAATTCTCCATTTTAAAATGCAACTCAAAACCCATATGTTCAAGATTGCTTATTCTCTTTAAATATCAATTTCACTGTCACAGCCTCAGTATTTTTTTTAAATGTTTTTATTTTTATTTTTTTTTACACTGTTTTTATGCTTTTGTATGGTGACCTTGAGTGTCCAGAAAGGTGCCTTTTTAAATAAAATGTATTATTATTATTATTATTATTATTATTATTATACGATTAATGGAGGGGGGTCTCATTTGCCATGTCTATATGTGGAATATAGACTAATCTTTGCTATTTAATGTTCTATAGCTTTTTATACCAATGATTCCTTTGCTTTTTTTTTTTTTTACCAGAAATTATTATGAAACAGTGGAGAGAAAAAAAATGTCTGGAGCTCCGCAGGGTTGTATTAGGGGTCTCTGTTTTTCAGCTTTTAATTGTCCACCTTAAAAACGTTGTAAAAGCATTGAGGGGAGTATGTACCACTTTTTCATTTTTTTTTTTTTTTTTTTGTGGATTAGTTAAAAAAAACCACTGGATTCAATTCAATTAAACAATACTTTCTCTGAGTATTATTTACAAGATGCAAAATAGCACAGATCAGTCTATCAGGAGTGTACTTAGAAAGCTGCTGAAGAGCTTTAGATACCCTAATGATAGTTATATTCTAAAAATTATAAGAACAACTGATATGAAAATGACAGCTCAATAGATTATGTGCTATTGTTGAGTTTTAGATTGATAAAAATAAAAAATAATTTTGATATACAAGAAAATATAGCAGCACTGATTCTGTATGATTTTCAGAAGTATGCTTTTAATATTTTTGCTTGATTACATGTTTTACTGTACGTATGAAGAATATAACAAACATAAAAAGCACAAGTTGGACTTCTAAACCAGTGGCATACTGATGGTTTTATTATGTAAAATGATTGACTCCCTTATTTAATTACGGATGCAAAGCATCCCCTTATATTCAAAGCACTTGATTGTAAAAGTGTATTCTTTACAAATATTCAGTGACATAATAAAAATAAATAAAGGTTATTTTTTTAATTCAACCAAATGGAAATAAATGTCTAGTGGATTATTTGGTTCTGTTGAGGGGTGCTTCCTTGGTGCACCACAGCTTTCAGCAGCTCTCAATGATTTATTTGGTCTAATCGACCTGTTTTGTTTTAATTCATGGAAAGCTGTTTTGTCTGGCACTACTCTAAAACATATATTTAGATTGTATCCTGCTATCACCTGCTTTAAAAGTGATCACATTTCTATTTAAAGGTCTGTACTTTCTGAGCCACAGACATGTAAAATCTGGTTTGCACATATCTACAGGGCTTAAAAGCTTTGTGAATTTGCCTTTTACCACCTCTAATAGCTTTGCTTTACTAAGTCTTGATATGGAGGATGACTTTATCTAAATTCTGTATTGAAAAATATGCCTTAGTTTCTTTTGGGACTGTCAAGAAATACCCACTGTTGGATTTCCCTCTGACATTAAATCTATATTTACACTACATAAAAATGTATGAAATCTACAGAATACAGATCTGCTTTCACAAAACTCATTAATCATTCTTTTCCTCTAATATAAAAAAAAGTAAAGCAAAGTGATTTTACTTGTATAGCAAACATGCAAACCGTACAAAAAATTAGAAGGAAAACAGCTAATGCAATAAATACAAGGTAAGCAAAACTAATTCAATTCTGATTGGCTCAATCCAATGGAGACACTATTTTATTGTATAAATTGCAGCGTGTGCATTTCTTTAAGGCCCATATGACTTCAGTGTGATGCCAAGCTTTAGTAAACTTATAAAGAGCACCACATCCATCACTGCTTCTGTCTATCCAAAGCTCTTTAAGATGAATTTCAACCGTCAGACTGTCTTCTGCTCTTCCCTACTGTGTTACTTCATTTTTACTATTCCCTACCCTACTTGTTTGTTTTCAGTCTATCAGCTGCACACATTTTCTTTCTGCTTGTATCAATGCAGCGCTCAGTGATGAGTCAGTACAGCAGAAGCGGCACACGCGTACAGCACACAGGGGCCTGCTCACATGGTTGTTGATGTGAATAATACATGAGCCCCGCTTCACCACGCCGCTTTAATATGAGATCTACATAAATCAGGACAGGTTTTCTAAGATGCTGAGCCGTGTGTTGTGACGGAGCACTGCAGTCAGCCCGCCCGCTTTATGTTTTTAATGTGTCTCCTTGATAGATTTATAAAATCAGGAAAAAAACGTTTGAAATGCGGACAGATGGGTTTAACAGGAGCAAAAAAATAATAAAGTCAAAGCAGATCAAGCAAAGGAAAGAATATTTTTTTTTTCTTCTTTGCTTTTTCTACCAACTGCAAGTGACGTCTTAGTGACAGCAAGCACATCTTTTAATCCAAGCACACTCACTTCCTTTTCCATTTTAGATACAGCTGCTGTTTCTGGAGCTCTGAGAAAACAGCGTTCATGCAGTTTGCTCTTAACAAAAAACTAGTGAAAACCATTACATTACATAGATTAAAACTGAAAAAAACATGAATCTAGGAATCTGGTTAGATAGTGAATGTTGAACAGCTACACGTTGAATGCTGAACAGTAAAATAAAGTTGTTATTGCCTGATAGGATAGAATTTGTCTTTTAAAGTTTCAGTGGAATTAGGGGATTCATCAAAAGCTTCCCTCTTCTTAAAGCTTTTGAGGTTTGTTTTGAGTGAGTCCAGTGTGCCTCTAGGGACAGCTTCCAGTGTCTGTGGTTTTATTTTAGAGAAAAGCTGCGATTTCATGAGATCACAGTCTAGCAGTTTATGCTTTCTGTGCAGTAACCTAAAGTAAGACAAATGTTTCAGTTTTATTTAACTGTCATATTGGTTTTAATCTTTTGTCATCTTTTGTATCAGATTCAGCAGTTTTTAAAATGTTACTCAGGGGCCTGATCTATTGTTTTTATTCTTTATTTTATGCTATATGATACATTTTTCTACCATCTAGATTGGTTATTTTTGTTTTTGGCCTCAATTTATATGATTACTTGTGATTTAAAGTGGAAAGATTTTTGTTAAATATATATTATTCTGTTCTTGTTAAACTGCACTAAAATTTCATTTTTTTTTTCTTTAATCATACACTGCATTAACTGAACTTACTGCTGGCAAATATTGCCGGAGCAGCTGGCAGCGATAGAGCAAGACGAGGGGAGCGACTGCGAGCAGAATTTACAAACCAGTCCCTTACAGGACTCTTAGTGCTGAGCAGTAATAAGGTTTATGGCTTTATTTGGGCTGTGAATATGCCATCAGCCTCCTTATTCATGTATTTATTGATGAAATAGTTACTTTTTCTATGATTCTGTGCAATTTTTTCACCCTATAGGTATTGTCTGAATTCAGTTTTATAGATCTCTTCAGTTATTGTATTTTGCTTGTTAACATTTGGCATAACATGAACAAGATACAAAATTTGTGGCTTTATTGTAAATATATAATTTAGGTGATATTTTTTTTATTGCATCCTTGCAAACTATGTGCAAACAGAACATTTAGACTGAAATAGGTGAATTGAAATTAATTATTGTTTCACAAAATCCTTATTTGTAATATTTTTAGACTGGGCATGTTAACTTGGCACATAGCAGTTAGTTGAAACTCTTGGTGCATGTTTGGTTTTTGGTTTATCTTCAATTATTATTCGTTCAAAAAACTCTAGCTGTAGGAGGTTTGCTGCTCAACCTTGACATGTCTTGGTAAAGACAAGAAGCAAATAGATATTTTACCACACACTTAATCAGTGGTTTCACAGATCAAGTGTGCAGAAATCGTTTGTTTGCTTTAGAATATCCTAAAATAAAAATGGCAAGCATTTCTTAGATTTTCTATTGGGACTAATTTGCAGTTTAACAAGATGTGAAATTAAAAAATAATCTACATGTTTTTCAATACACTATTTCTATAGTATATTTTTATCTGTTAAACCAACATTAGAGCCATTTAGCAATGGGGGTAACTATAGCTACAACGACTGTCAGCAGGAAGATTTGAAATGAGCCTTAAATAAAAAATCTTGAATTATTTTATGAAAATAAAACATTTGCATGGTTAAAAAAAAATAGCACATTTCACAAAATGATGTTGTTGGCATCTGTTATGATGACATTAACTTACTTTGCTGTACAAAGTTATCTTATCATTGGGTTGGTTCACAAATGTATTTATATGACTGCAGAAAGGAACTTCCATGTACCAAATGAGAGCACTGACCTTAAAGACAAAGTCCACTGCCAAAAAAGTTATGCCACTGCCATCAAAGCTATTTTTAGTGTAGTACTATAACAGTTTGCTAGTATAGGTTCATGTTAAGAGTTGTTGGAAAGGGTTATCTATGAAGCAGCTAAAATAAAATAT